ATCCACTAAGTATGGTCACAGTCTTGTTCTTTTCAATTATTAAAATTGGTACAATATCTTTCTAGAATTCTTCACACAATCAGGCTCCAAATTCTATGTTGAAACTAGCAAGGGGGGTTACAGCTACCAGTGAACACTAGGAAGAGGCTACCAACATCTCTTAGCAGAAAAAACACATACTTAGAATAATGTAAATTGAACACATCTCCATTCAACTCAACTTTAATATGAAAAGTACAGCTGCAATAAAAATCAAGTGTTGTTTTGTGTTGTAATGTAGTATTACAGGAGTGTACTAATGTGGCTTACATAACACTTTTTTATTGGCTTATATCACTAATCAACCAGAAAGTGGCAGCAGAACAGTTAAATAGTCTTGTCTTACCTCCAAAGGTGTGAATTCAAATCTCATCCTGGACTTGTACTGAAGAATGCCCACAGCTGGACTCAGCTATAAATGGGTACCATACAGAGTGGGGAGTCAAAGACGCTGGAAGTAATGTTACAGAAATTGGTATGCTTTAACTGTACTAGCCAAATGGGCTAGTAGGCTTGGGTTGGCTGCAGAAACTGGCATGCCTTCATTATGCTAGCTCCATGGGCCATTTGACCTGGTCTGACATTTGCCTTTTTTTTTGGCATCTTAGCTGAAGCACAGAAACCAAAATCACTTCATGAGATAGATAGTCCTCTTGGATGCTGTGAGCAATGGAGTGGCATGGCTGGATCCTCATTTAACCCATCATGTTAGACCTGAAACCCTACAGAAACTGCTTAGGAAAGACTTTGGACCTACTATGATAAAATGCAGCTGGGAACTTCGTGGAATTAATAAGAGAGATGAATTAAAGCTGCTCAAGAAACAATGACAAGACATAGGGGGACCATTTCCATAGAACCCAAACCCAGAAAGAGGGCACAATTAACATTATAAAAGCCTGCGCAGGTTACTTGGAGAAGGATTGGCTTGCCGCCTTGTCTCAGCAAGTTTTTTGGTGCAGAATACTATGCACTGATGAGGAAATGGAATTCCATACAACAGCTTTGTTTCCACATTGTGCCAAAGATCCTTTTGCTGTCAGTTGAACCAAGCCACAGATCACAAGCTGTATAATTAAATCTTCCCATGCCTACAGTGGGCAGCATAGAGTCTTACCAGTGAATTGAGGACTCAGAATCAGTGGCTCTTTGATCCAAAGTGAGGCTGGGAGAAAGTTCTCACAGCAGACACACCGTTAATCAAGGTTTTAATATTTTGTGACAGCACCCACTGAATTTATTTGGTACCATTACGAACATGTGAGAGTAATGTCTCTTGCTACTTCTCTGCTAGCTGTACCACAAAAAGGTTTGAGTCTGCTATATCTTTTAGCTAATGGAGCTACCACTCTGGCAATAGAGGCTCACAGTTTTAGATCTACAGATCCCAAGTTGGAGTCCTATTGCTAACAAGCTATCCACGGATGTTGCATTACAGTGTCAAGAACTGACAGTTTAATATATCTAAAAAGCTACGGCCTAGTGCATTCATAACTAATGCCAGACCCCATAGCTCCTCTGGTGGCTGGTTCTTCCAGTCACTCATTTGCCTTTTCTTCATCTTCAGCTCCATCCTCAGCTGCATCATCCACCTGTTGATCAGCAAACTCCTCAAATACCAGTTCTGCATCCTGGTCACTGAAATGAAGGAAAAATAGGCCCTTTTAAGCCTGCACAAACCCTTTGAATATAGCACAGCTTTACACTGGGAACTTTTGCTCCTTGCTTCTTCTCCAGTTTTACATGCTGCCTTGAGTCTCTATTAATGTTTCCTTTAGTATCTACCTAGCACTGGACAGCTGGAGGATAGGGGTAGTGCCAAGCAATGAAGAGCCTTACCTCACCATTGGGATCTCATGGACACTGGCAGCTGCTGCTGCCACTGGCACCATCACGCAGGCTCCCTGCACCCCAGCTGTTGCTGCTATTGCTGTGCAGGCTCTCCAGAGGCCATTCAGCACTGGAGTTAGTGCCTCATTTATCCTGTCCCAGCATTGCTACTGGGCTTTGGGTCAGGTCCCTTCAGAACCATCAACTGGTTGAGTCAGCTGAGGTGGCACCAATCAGCTGCTTTTCACACCCATCTGGACAACAGCTGTGAAAGTTTGCTACATTTTGTGTCATAGCCACTCCAGCAAAATATCTACCATCTGTAACTAGATAAACTGCAGCCTTGAAAGGTGTTTATTAAATAGAATTAGGAACCTGTCACATCATGCTCTTGCTATTTTAAGAGCTTCCAGACAGATCTTTTGGGGAGTATAAGAGATCCAGTGGATAAAATGACTAGTGTGACATCATTTAAAAACATCTTACCTCTCCTTCCCTGTAATTATCAGCATGCAGTAAAGGCAGGGAAAAAAGACACACAAGGTGGTTAGAATGGTGAATGTTCATACTCCAGAGCTAAACAGGGGGATCACTTATAAAATGAGAAGCGAAAAATACGTTGGGTGGTGTTTTCTTGCTACAGCTTGAGCAGCCCAGAAAAGTCTTGCATTGCTAATTATTCCAATGCACCTGTACGGGGCGGGGGGCCTGATGCAGCAAAACACAGGTCTTTTTAGTGGAAAAATGCTCTGGCAGCATAGCCCAAACATCAAAGGGGCTGAAGAGCAAAGACAGACCTTCCTACTCTGGCTTGCTAAAAACAACTGGTGTGAAAGGTGTCTGCCCACAGTACCAGACAGAGACAGCAGTGCTTATGGGACATGATGTTCCTTTTAACTGGTCTGTCACTGTGTTTTAAGTAGTCAGCCTGATTGAAAGAGGAGGCCATTAATAAGCCTTAAGGAAATGAAATAGAACAGGGGAAAAAAAGTACTAGACACTGGATTTCAGCCCTTATATTGTAGCTTTGATATTATAAAAAGCAGAGCTCACAATGCTACACTCACTTAAAAACTTATGCTTAATCCTTTATAACTAGTTCCAGGTGTTTACAGGAACGGATCTTTACTAATGCTATCCTAATGAAGCAATACTTGCTGCCACTCACTTTGATGAGGCTATGAATCTATAATTTGGTTTTCTGGGACATACCTCAGGAAAGCAGTGATTAAGTAGCGTGTACTGCATTGTGGCTATAGAGAAAGGTTGCTGGCTGCTGCTTTGATGGTCACTTCTGCTCACCGAGTAACAGCTGCTCATCTATTTCTCATGAGCCTAGCTCCAATGAGTATAGCTTTTAAATAAATGTACTACTCTGTCTTTTCTAGGAGAGGTCAGTAATCCCAAGTGCTTCAGTGACCAGGGCCACAGGGCAGGTGGGACAGGGAGGGGGGCCATCGTGATATCTACAAGTGCTGAATTCAATCAGTTTCACAAATTGGGCTGGGAGAAAATGGGCAGTTTCGTTTAGGTTTATATTCATAGTTAATTAAGTACTGACTTGTAACACAGGCAAGTGCTGGAAACTATGACGTAGTATAAACCCATGACACAGCACATGCCAGTAAGATTACACTCAACATTGCACGTAAACTATAATTTCAACTTAAAAACAGCTGCTTGTTTTTGTTTCCCATTGACCCATTAAATTGAAGGCCAACAGTCTTTCAGATTCCTGTCCTTCTCTCTTTATCCTGCCATTTATTTATAGTTATGATGTAGCTAAAGTTCTCTGGAGCCTGAATATGGCTAGGCATTTTCTTGAAGCTATTTAACATCTGAATAAATACACCATGCTTCTCAGGGTTTGGGTAGGAGGGTGCTGTCTTTTAGGACATAATAGAATATGATGAAATGCCACAGCGTATGTGGAAGATTTCCTATAAGCTTTTATTATGCAGCCACAGCACTGATTCCATATAATTAAAGTTGTGACATATGGTAATTTCCATTATATGCTTGATTTTAACCTCACTTAACTTTATGGAGGGAAGAAACAAAGTGCAGTACCTATACATTTTTTTGCAGTGTAAGTCTTTTCAATATTTTAGTAATTTTTTGATAGTGACAGCATATAAGGGGAGGACATGTATAAAACAAAGTTTAAAGAAGTGCAACTTTTATGGGTGAAATTAATCCTGAATTAAACCAGTGTACATAATAGCCACACATCTGTTCATGTTAAATGAAGGAGCAGCTAAAGGGCCCCATTGCTGAGTAACTGCTGAAACAATACAGTCTACTGCCCAAAACAGACTTGCATAGGAAGGTTGAGCTGAAGCTGTGGTATGTGGACCCACAGCCTCTTAGGAAAAGAAGCAAAACACAGGGGCTAAGGCAGCAGTTCCCAAAATGGGGTTGCAACATCAGCAGATGGGGTCGCAGGGATGGGGGGCTCTGGGTTAGAAGCTAAGGGCCATGCTGAGGAAATGGGGCCATAAACGGGGTCATGCTGAGGAAGAGTTTGGGAAACACTGGGCTAAGGCATTGATTGGTACAGATGTCTCTTTCTGTTGGAGGTGAGCAACAGAAAAATATCAGAGGAGAAGAAAGGGGTATAGGTTGTAGCTATGTTGATCTAAAGGCAAAAGCAGTTAGAACTCTTGTGGTAGAGGCAATATCTTTTATTAGACCAACTAGAGAGTTGCAAAAAAATTAAAAGCTTTCACAACTGGGAACGTGGCTCTAAGAAAAGTACTGATTAGAAAGGGACTTGAAGTATATGAACAGATGCTAGCTTGCTTTATTCCTGCTGCAGTCATAGTTTCATAGATTAAGGGTCAGAAGGGACCTAGTAGATCTTCTAGCCCGACCCCCCGCCAGGGCAGGAGAACAACAAAAAACCCCAAAAAGAGAAACGGGACTCAAATGAGTCCAGCCAGGTAGGCATCCAGCCTCTTCTTAAAGACCCCCAGGGTAGGGGCCAGCACCACTTCCCCTGGAAGTTGGTTCCAGCTCCTAGCCACCCAGTCACAAGAACAAGACTATACATTCTTTGTCAATAACAGAACAGCAAAGACCTGGCTGCAACATCTCCTCCCAACAGAAACAGCCTGCAATACCTTGAACTTAGCTAACTGCTCTGATCAGAAAAAGTTTACACTACCAACACATGTGCAACACATAAACAACAGCATATGAGAACCCTAGGTAGTGAGGCTATAAGTCAGCGGTTGGCAATTATTTCGGTTTGCAGGCCACATAGGGAGTTTTGGTGAGCTGTTGCAGGCCAGGTCACCACGCCCTGCCCCTCTCCCTCCCCCATCACGTAACAGCTCACCAAAACTCTCCAAGTGACTCTGCTTCATGCCCGGCTGGGCAGTTGGGATGGGGCCATGGGCAGACAGGGAGCAGCATCTGGGAGCAGGACAGGCGGGTGGGGCTGGAAGCATAGGGTGGTCCAAGGGGCTGTGATCTGCAGCCCACATGCCCCTGTGACAGGCACCAATTCTGTGGGCAGAGGCATGTGGGGAGTTGGCTGTGGCTCTGCTCTAGACCCTGGCCCCATGCTGTCATCACCCATGGAGACCAGTTCAAATGTGCGTGGGCAAGGCATATAGAGGTGGCTGGATGGGATGAGGCTATGGGTGGGCAGGGAGCTGTGTCTGGAGCTGGGATCTTGGGGCGGTGACAGTGTAGGTTTCCCCAGACTGAGCTGCAATCCACTCTCCACATACCCCTGCCTGTGGAACCCATGCCCATTGCAGAGCTATGCAGGCAGCAGATTGCGGCTCTGCCCCAGACCCTGGCTCTGCGCTGTCACCACCTCACAGTCCCGCCCTAAAGGTCCCAGCCTTGCCCATCTATCTTGCTCCTGAACACAGCTCCCTACCCAACTGCAGCCAACTCCCAGCCCCCCAGCCACACACCCTGCCCACATGGGTTCCACCTTGAGTGGTGGGCTGGGGTGCCCAGGCAGTGGGGTTGGGTCCAGTGGTGGCTGAAAGGAGCTGCCACTGCTGGGAAGTGAGTCCAGCTGTCATGCCATCCCAGCTCTGCTGCACACCTTGTGGGACTGGCTGCACATGCCATAGCCTGAGCTACCTCCCGTGCCTGGGCCAGGTGGGACTGAGGGACTCAATGCAGACCAGACAAAATCCCTTTGTGGGCTGGATCTGGCCCGCAAGCCATATTTTGCCCACCCCTCCTATAAATCAATTTTAGAAAGGAAAGGTAATCATCAGGTTCCTTCCATACCCCCAACCCCCAAGACATCAAAAAGATACCAGCAATAGCTCCATAATTTGGCATATCAACTTTTCACTTTTAAATGAGCCCTGCAATGCATACTTCAAAATGCAAGTGTCAAGGAGCAAAGAGGGGCAAAATCACCTGCAAGTGAAATGATCCCAGCACGATTGATTCCAAAAAAGTTGCTCTACTACAAAACATAATCCAAGAAAGACCAAAACCTCTACTCCTTCCTCTAGGGATTGGCAACCTATGACCCATGGGCCAGATCAATCCTGCAAAGCTATTTGATTCAACCTGCAAACATAGGGCTTCAGTGGTGTTTGGCAGTGGGGACTTTTTCCATGCTACTGTGGAGAAAAACAGCTGGATCCTGGCACCTCCCACCCACCTCTGGCCTGAGCTGGGCGATTCCAACCCACAACCTAAAAAGGTTGCCAACCACTGCTCTAGAAGCTCATACCTTTTGCCCTTCTGTCTGAGGTTCTATAGACCCAATTCAGCCATGCACAATTAAATCCTGATGAGTTTATTTACTCACCCCATATATGCAGCAT